CCGCGTAGCCCAGTGGAAAACTTGGTCAACTTCTGGTGAGCGGCCTTCCTAGGCCTCTTCAGTGAGAGTCCGCGTGAGGCCTGTGCAGCCTGTTAGGCAGCCAGGGGTCGGGGACACTGCCCAGCCCTGGGCTAGCCCGCATCGCCAAGCTAAGAGGAGAAAAATAGTCTTTTCTTGTTGTTAATGGTGTCGAATCGATTGGCCATATGAAAGGTTGGTTTTTTTTTTTCTTCTTTCTGTTATCCCTCATCTATTTTTAAAAATACCATCCCCTTCTAGAAATTATCAGTGACCATTGGGAGTTAACTGTCTTGAGACGACTTCTATGATTGTATTCTTATATTCCAGCCAAAGAATGCGTTGTTGATGTTTATATTAATTAAACAGAACACCATGAAATTAATCTGAATCAGGAACTTTAGTATTAAGTACACGCTTTAAAAAAAACTTATGCTGAGTGTACGTAAATGTGCCCAAGACAGTGAGAGACACCCAGATTAGTGTACTCTTCAATTAATGATCAAGTTGACCACTCCTCTCAGACTTGTGGAATGCTAACCCAAGCTCACTGATTCCCTGAGTTGCTCAACTGGTCTGTACTCTTTCTCTGTTATTTGCATTTTGGCACTTGACAATAATAACCAAAAGCCCTTGCTGCCATAGTTGCATTATTTAGGACCTGAAACACTGCATGAAGTTCAACCAGCCCTGGAAGCCTGGTTTTGGTTTATGCATATAGAAGTATTGACCTGCTTGATCCTCACTCAAATATAGAATGTATACACTAAGAGATTAAAAAGTCCATTGATGGAAAAATTTTTGTGTACAGGCCCATGCTGGTGCTTGAACTCAAGGCCTAGGCACTGTCCCTTACCTGTTTTACTCAAAGATGGTGCTTACCATCGAGTCACACATCCAGGTCTTGCTTTTTACTCGTTAATTGGAGATAAGAGTCTCTGGGACTTTTCTACTGGAATGGCTTCCAACCATGATTCTCAGATCTCAGCCTGCTGTTGAGTAGGTAGGATTAGAGGCATGAATCACCTGCACCCAGCCTAAATTATTTAACTTTCTGTACAGCAGAGCTGCATGTGTAGATACTATAAAATACTTATGAAAGCATTGGAAGTTTTTGCATAAATGAGACTAAATTGGACAAAATGTGTTTTAAATTATTTTTTTTGTCAGTTGTGGGACTTGAACTTGGAGCCTGGGGACTGTCCCTTATCTTTTTTTGTTGAAGGCTAGCACTCTAACCACTTTGAGCCACAGCTCTACTTCCTGTTTTTGGTGATTAATTGCAGGTAAGAGTATCATGGACTTTCCTGCCCAGGCTGACTGCTCAGTCTAGTTTTGAACCACGATCCTCAGATCTTAGCCTTCTGAGTAGCAAGGATTGTAGACGTTGAGCGAGGGTAGCAAAATATTTGTTCGTTGACCCAGTTGTACTTGCTAAAATTAAAGTAAATCTTCAAGATAAGTTGAAGCAGAAAAATGGGTCATAGTGACTTTCTGTCTCAACTTTTAGTGGAACATTATTATTAGAATTTTATGTTAAAACATGGCACTGATTATTTTTTCCTTAATACTTTAAAAAACTATTGAGTTAAGTTTCAATTTTCCATGAAAGTACCCTGTTGCTGTCATGTCTGTCATGCTGTTTCCTCTCTTCCTTTTCCCCTGCTTGGTAGATTTACAGCACCTTATTCAGTTAAAATTAGACACAATGAGGAATAGGCCCCTGCTTCACAGCCCAGTGGAATACTTGGTCAGCTTTTGGTGAGCAGCCGCAAACCTGCTTTAGTATCATTGTTCACTTTTTGTTGTGTGCTTCAATGACTTTGACATTGGACGCCATTTCTAAACTAGAGTTCAATAGTCTGTCCTTTCAAAAGCCCTCATATTGGATTTCTCATAAGAACCCTTAATCTTAATATCCTATATTAGAAACTGAGACACAGGACAGTCTTGTAATTTGCTCAAAGCCACATAACCAGTGAGAAGTAGGATAGAATTTAGATCCAAGCCCAAATTTTGTTTTGTTTGTTGTTGGTTGTGGGGCTTGAACTCTGGGCCTGGATGCTGTCCCTCAGCTCTACAGCTCAAGGGAAGCACTCTACTGCTTGAGCTACTTCTGTAGATTCAAGTCCTAGTAAAGATTATTTTTCAAAGAAACAAACTGAATGAAGGTAGTAAGAATATACATATGACCACAACACATAGTGGTCTTTCAGAAACGTATAATGGGGAAAATGTCTAACAGTAAGTGATGAGAAGAGAAGCCCTATTGCTAGAACAAATGCATTGTCAGAGCTGTGTTTGTGCTTCTCTTTTCTTTCTTTCTTGTTTTTTTTTTTCTTTTTTTCTGTTACTAGTGATCAAATCCAAGTCTGGAGCATCTACAAATAATTTACCTCTGGACTACACCTCCAGCCTAGGTATACTTGAAATAAGCAGAAGTTAGTAATTTCTATCAGTAGTACATATTACAGGCTATTCAATGTGGAAAATAGTTGGCTGCTTAATTCATACCCTTTCTGGTTGTTCTTGGGGAATATGGTCTGTTTTGAATTCAAGAACACAGCAGGAATTTTAAAATGATTTTAATAAACTTTTAGAAAGTATAGCTGTATTTTCCTGTGTATTCATTTTGGTTGACTATAACTTTTAAGATGTAAAGGTTTTGTTTTAAAATCATAGGTAATACAAGTGTAAATGTTTAAAAAAAAACAAAAGAAACATCTACCAGAAATGAATAGTTGGTCTCGAGTGGTGTTTTTTTATTTTATTTTGATAATTCTTAAAAATCACCGGTCCAGTTCTTTGTATATAGTTGTGTTTCAGTATACAAATACACATCCATGGGCTGGGAAGGTGGCTTAGTGGTAGAGTGCTTGCCTTGCATGCATGAGGTCCTGGGTTCGATTCCTCAGCACCACATAAGCAGAAAAAGCTGGAAGTGGCACTGTAGCTCAAATGGTAGAGTGTTAGCCTTGAGCTGAAGAGCTGAGGGGCAGCACCCAGGCCCAGAATTCAGGCCCCACAACCAACAACAACAACAACAAAACAAAACAAATATACATCCAATGACAGAAAAATGAATTTGGTTTCATTGCTGTTATAATGAAAATGGTTCATTTTTCCAAGTAGGATGAAACGAGGAGGAAGAGATAGTGACCATAATTCATCTGAAGAAGGTACTGCAGAAAAATCAAAGAAACTGAGGACTACAAATGAGCATTCTCAGACTTGTGATTGGGGCAATCTGCTTCAGGACATTATTCTCCAAGTATTTAAGTATTTGCCTCTTCTTGACCGGGCTCATGCCTCACAAGTTTGCCGCAACTGGAATCAGGTATTTCACATGCCTGACTTGTGGAGGTGTTTTGAATTTGAACTGAATCAGCCAGCTACATCTTACTTAAAAGCTACACATCCAGAGCTGATTAAACAGATAATTAAAAGACATTCAAACCATCTACAATACGTCAGCTTCAAGGTAATACTTTAACATCTTCTCTTAAGAAATAAAGCAATTTTAGTGTTTTTGATCTCACTGCGAAGAGATCTTCAAATCTATAGGTGGCATAAAAAATTTAAAAGACTTAGTTTGTTATGTTTCAGAGAAAAATAGAAAGGATGCATGGAAATACACCATAGGAACTGCTGCTTTTCTTTGCTGTAAGGGGCAACTTGGAACTGATATAATGTTGAGGTAAAATTGAGGTGGCCTTTCAAGATATCTAGAAAGCAAAGCTTTGTATGTATGTATATGAGTACAGAGACTTTAATGTCCTTTTAGAAACAGTGAAATATGGGCAGGCTTACTGAAGCTATTGAGACAGGCATCACATTTTTAAGCAAATCAAGTGACACTTATAAGTACGTGTTGAAAAGTGAGGCGTGCCAAGGGTGGTGATACATCTGTAATCCAAACCTTCAGTAAGCTAAGGCCAGCTTGGCCTTTGCAGTAGAACCCTTGTTTCAGACAAAGTAAAACAATTTTTTTCAGTCACCAAGGAAAAATAAGATATTGATACCTGATTTACCGATATGAATCAGCTGTTAAAAGGGCAGAATTAGATTTAGATAAAGCAGTGGTTCTTAACCTACAGCTTCATATCATAACTTAAACACTCATCTTCTTTTCAAGAATGTCATTTCCTCTTAGGTAGACCTTGTGTCCAAGGAGAAGATGATGCTCGGTAATGGGAATGGTTGAGCGGACTGTGGCAATGTTCCCAAATACATAAAAGCATTTTGGATATGAGAGGTGTAGATTGTCAAGTATAGCCCCACCCCACTGCCACCCCGGAAATAAAAAAAAGCCAACTTAGAGTTTCAGATACTTTTTTTAGCAGAGTACTGGTCGTTCTCAAACTTGATGTGCAATAAATAGAATCACCTACAGGGCATATAAAGACAAAGGTTGTTGGGGCTCACTCTTGATTCAGAAATGGTGCTGTGTGGCTCAAGCAGTACAGCGCTTGTCTTGAGCTGAAGAGCTCGCCCAGAGTTCAAGCCCCATGACCGACCAAAAAAAAAAAAAGTTTGATTCACATGGTCTGGTTGTGCATGAGACTTTTTGTGCTTCTTAAATTCTTTGGTGAATTTGATGTTGCTAGTCCAGAGATCACATTTTAAGAACCTAATTGTAATATAAATTAGTATATTTGTTTTTACCTAGCTGTTCGCTATAATATTTTTAGTTTAGGGAGCAGCTAACTTTTCCTTTGGGGGGTTGGGAATGTATTTTTTTCCTTTTTTTTTCTCCATAATTCCTCTTTCTAGTCGTGTTTCAGCAGAGAAATGTGTAATGTGTGATAGCAGAGCTACTTTAAACAAGTTTTTGGTTCAGATTTGTACTTGATTAGTGAACATTGTTACTTTGCTAAATTATTTCCATTAAAAATTTTAATTATGAGTCCAAATTGTGGTTTGTCTAAACATTATGAATAGTCATTAATTTCTTGAAATGTTTTAACATATGCACTGTATTTCATCTATTATTTGATCTACCAAATACAGTTTTCACACTACAAATTGCTTTATTCCCTTAATTTATACAGTCGTCTTAGTTGTTTCAACACTAAATATATAATAGTGAAAAAGCTATCTTGACAATTGCACTTATAATTTCTCAGGAGCATTTAAGCCTGAAGTTGTAGGAGACGGCATAATTAAAAGAATGTTCTTTAAAATATAATGGAGCGAAGAAACAATGTTTCTGCTTTTGTAAAGTGAAGCTGTATCAAAGAAATGTAAATATGTGCATCAGTAAAGATGTTTTCTTTTCTAAGGTGGACAGCAGCAAAGAATCAGCTGAAGCAGCTTGTGATATATTATCACAACTTGTGAATTGCTCTTTAAAAACACTTGGACTTATTTCAACTGCTCGGCCAAGCTTTATGGATTTACCAAAGGTATCTGCTCGTTACTGAGAATCCAGTTAAAGCCTAAATATTTCTTACATGGATAATGAGAGTTTAAGAAAAGTAGCATGTGTAATGGAAAGCCAATTATGAGAATGTTAACATAGTATTTTCAGAATAATTTTTAAAATCACTTTGTGTATCTTCATTGGTAATATTAAAGAGAAAATTGATTTGCAGATTTTCTAGAAAGGGCTAAAAGAAAGCAAAACAGAACAAACATTAGAAAAAGGGGAGTGTAGATACTCCTTTTTAGCTTGCAGAACAGATTGGTGAGGTTAGAATCAAAGAAGAGAATATTAATATTGAGGGCAGATGTAGTCTACTAAAATTAATTTCTGGCAAGTGTTCTGTAAAGATTTATTTTTGAACAAAGTATGGCCTGGCTTTTAACTCTATATTTCAAGAATGTATATTTTGTGAAGAATTAATTGCTAAATTCACATGTGTGTTCTAACATGATCTTTTACACAATTGGAGATAGTTTTACTCTTAACAGCTTATCTCTTAAAATAGAAAAATGAAATTAAGTATTTATAGATAACATACATATATTTAGGTATATACATATAGCATATATATACATAATATCTGTATGCTAAGGATAGATAATAATTTGAAGCAATTTTCAGCGTATACCTCAGGATACTTCAGTCAGGCACTGGTGGCTCACACCTGTAATCCTAGCTACTCAGGAGGCTGAGATCAGAGGATCGTGGTTCAAAGCCAGCCTGGGCAGGAAAGTCCATGAGACTCTTTTATCTCCAATTAACCACCAGAAAACCGGAAGTGGTGCTGTGGCTCAAGTGGTAGAGTGCTAGCCTTGAGCTGAAGAGCTGAGAGACAGCACCCAGGCCCAGAGTTCAAGCCCTACAACCAACAACAACAACAAAATTTTTTTTTGAACTCTGGGCCTGGGTGCTGTCCCTCAGCTCTTCAGCTCAAGGTGAACACTCCACCACTTGAGCCACAACACCACTTCCAGTTTTCTGGTGATTAATTGGAGAAAAAGAGTCTTTCCTGCCCAGGTTGGCTTTGAACCGCAATCCTCCAATCTCAGTCTCAAGAGTAATGAACAAGTGTTAGCCAGTGGCACTGGCTAAAACAAAAAAATTATGTATATCTATCTATACATACACACTTCAGAAAATACCTGATCATTTAATTTACTAGTATGATTCAGGAAGGAGTATTACTAACTTGTATGTAATACCTGGGTGTTCTTATTGAATAGCAATACCTTTTTTCAAAGGTCTTTAATGTTTTAAAAGTTTCATTAAATTTGTAGATTTTTAGATAAAAATATTTTTCTCATAGACTAAATAAGGGAAACACAAGAAAATCTGCTCATTTTAACACTTTAAGATTCTAAGTTACGGTTTTCAGACTTACTTGTGCACTTAATTGTGCATAAATTTTAGTTTACTAGTCCAAATTGAGTGATTCCAATTCTCCCTCCCTCAGATAGTCTAGATGATTCGAATCATAATGCTCTACATGATTTAGTACCACCTTCAAGTATCACATCTGAAAGGAAATGTTCTGAGTTGATATTCTGTGTGACCATCATAGTTAAATGCATGTATTCCACATATAACCTAATTTAAGATACAGAGTATTAAAAGTATATGGAACAGGGGGCTGGGAGGGTGGCTCAGTGGTAGAGTGCTTGCCTTGCATGCATGAGGCCCTGGGTTCAATTCCTCAGCACCACATAAGCAGAAAAAGCCAGAAGTGGCACTGTGACTCAAGTGGTAGAGCACTAGCCTTCAGCTGAAGAGCTGAGGGACAGCGCCCAGGCCCAGAGTTCAGGCACCATGACTGGCAAAAAAAAAAAAAAAGTATATGGAACATAGTTTTTTGTCTTAATTTGGAGTTACTGTACTATCATGTGTAATACTAATTTGACAATTCTAGCTGGGACTGCTTCTTTATTACATAGACCTAGGTTGATTCTATTCAAATTAAGTAGACATATTCAAATTAAATAGAACACTTGCAGAGATTATAATTTTATTTAAATATAATTTTAGCAGTTTTAAAATCAATTTTTATATGACCTTCCATGTTCTAAATTAGTCATAGCTTTTGAGTTGATTGACTTAGTAATTTTTAGTGATTGTGTCACTGCTATTCTAAATAGTCATTAGTATTTGGGACACTGGTACAAATAAGATTTCCATTGTTGGTTGGCTGTATTTTTTTCAGGGCAATGCAGTACTAGGATTTGAACTCAGAGCCTTGTGCTTACTAGGAAGCCTACAACTAGAACCACACATATAGTTTCCAGACGTGATGAAGTGTCCAGAGATTCTTATACTGAATTGCAGCATTACAGTGATTTAAGTGACATGCTGAAAATTAAAATTAATTTTTCTCCCACAAATAAAAGGACTTATCCCAGAGATGGTAGTTAGTGACTTTTTTTTGGCTATACTCCCATTAACAGAGTGCAGGGTGTTATTTAACAGTTTTGAAATTTATCACTAGAATTCAGATGAACCATACTGGGGAATGTTTTGCTCCTTTCTAAAAAAATTATTTCAAAAAATTGAAACAGTATTTTCATGTTTTTGCTTTCCAGTCTCACTTTATCTCTGCACTGACAGTTGTGTTTGTAAACTCCAAATCCCTGTCCTCGCTCAAGATAGATGATACCCCAGTAGATGATCCATCCCTCAAAGTGCTGGTGGCCAACAACAGCGATACGCTCAAGTTGCTAAAAATGAGCAGCTGTCCTCATGTTTCTCCAGCAGGTATGTTGTGTTTTTTTTTTTTGTTTTCCAGACACATTTTAATAAAATACATTGACTTGTTCATCAAATAAAATAAACCTCAATAGGTTTGTTAAATTGCAGATTTGTTTGCATTGTTTTATCTCTTCTGCTTAGACACTGACTTTCAGCTTATTTTCCAGTTATTTTATTTGGCATGTGCAAGAAAATCAGTAATTGGGGTGGGGGGCACCTAGGGCCATATATACATTTTTGTAAAGGAAATATCCATAGTGTTCCAGCTGGAACTAGGAAATCTTAGAGTAATTCACAGATGCTTAGTAAAGAGGTTGTTTGTAAAGGTCTAGGCAGGGTTAAGAGAAAAATACCAAGGAATAGTGCAAGGTCTTAGGGTTATTCCTATTGTTTCCAGTAGGCTAATGGTTCTTTTGCTCCATTTGGATAGAAAGTATAAATAGTAAAGTGTAGATTGGGAGAATAGTGTGTTGAGGCTAGCTGGGCAAAACATTAGCAACTCCCATCTCATCTCAGTAAGTCAGAAGTGTTAGTACAAGCCTTTGATTCTAGACATATGGGCGCCAAAGATAGGATTGTGGTCTTGAGACTGGCCCTCTTCCTGAAATATGCCATCTTCCTGAAAATTAAGTTAAAAAAAATACTGGGGCCTGGTTCAAGTAATAAAGCACTTGCCTAGCAAGCAAGAGTCAGAGTTCAAATTGCTGGAAATAGGCAATAAATAAGGCACCCATACTTGCTTTACTGTGATAAATCATACTTGCTTATAGCATATTTTTAAGATGGCAGTAATTAATAAATGATTTTTTGACATGATAAATGGACTTTATTAGGATTTAGAGTAGGTTTCAATTTTTTATTTTGGTTGGTTGTGGAGCTTGAACTAGGGGGCCTTGATACTGTCCTTGAGCTCTTTTTGCTCAAGGCCAGTGCTCTACCACTTTGAGCCACAGTGCCACCTGTGGTTTTCAGGTGGTTAATTGGAGATAAGAGTATGGACTTTCCTACCTAGGCTGGCTTTGAAACATAATACTCAGAGCTCAGCCTCCTGGTAGCGAGGATTACAGGCATGAGCCACCAACACCAGGCACAGTTTGAATTTTTTATAGTGAAAGTGATTTAAAATGTTTGTGACTCACCTTCTGCTAATTTAACATCACAACTGAATTAAATTGCATAGTTGTTTTTGTTTTTTATGTCAGTTCTGGGGTTTGAACTCAGAGCCTGGACACTGTCCCTGAGCTTTTTTGCTTAAGGCTAGTGCTCTTCACTTAAGCCACAACTACACTTCTGGCATTTGGTCGTTAATTGAAGATAAGAAACTCACATACTTTCTTGTGTGTTCTGGCTTTGAACTGTTATTCTCAGATCTCAGCTTCCTGAGTGGCTAGGATTACAGGCATAAGAGCTACTGGAACCTATCTGTTGCATTATTATATGAAAATGGAAATAAAGCAAAATCTGTGAGGCATGCACTTATATTTTTTAACAGATTAATTTGTAAAGAAGCTTATAAATAATGAGATTTTTTTTTTCTTCCAAGGTATCCTTTGTGTGGCTGATCAGTGTCATGGCTTACGAGAACTGGCCCTGAACTATCACTTATTAAGTGATGAGTTGCTACTTGCTCTATCTTCTGAAAAACACGTTCGCTTAGAACATTTGCGCATTGATGTGGTCAGTGAGAACCCTGGACAGACACACTTCCATAGTATTCAGAAGAGCAGCTGGGATGCTTTCATCAAACATTCACCCAAAGTCAATTTAGTGATGTATTTTTTCTTATATGAAGAGGAATTTGACCCATTCTTTCGTTATGAAATACCTGCCACTCACCTTTACTTTGGGAGATCAGTAAGCAAAGATGTACTAGGCCGAGTAGGAATGACATGCCCTAGGCTAGTTGAACTAGTAGTGTGTGCTAATGGATTACGACCCCTTGATGAAGAGTTAATTCGCATTGCAGAACGTTGCAAAAACTTGTCAGCTATTGGACTGGGGGAATGTGAAGTGTCATGTAGCGCCTTTGTTGAGTTTGTGAAGATGTGTGGTGGCCGCCTGTCTCAGTTATCCATTATGGAAGAAGTATTAATTCCTGACCAAAAGTATAGCTTGGAGCAGATTCATTGGGAAGTTTCTAAGCATCTTGGAAGGGTATGGTTTCCAGACATGATGCCCACTTGGTAAGGACCTCATGATGTACAGCATAATGAATAGCACCCTAATGTCAAGCAAATATATTATAGTAAAAGTTTGCTGTAGTACGAATATAATTCTATTCTTTTGTAGCACAGAAATTTGATATCTTAAATATACTGGTATGTTTGTTGGAAGACCTACAAATCAGTTAGGGTCAGAAAACTCCATCTGTTTCTTTAGAGTAATAGTAGTCAAATCTGAATTTCGTTTTTAAATGTGGTTTCATATTTGAAAGTAATAACCAGTTACAAAGATTGAACAGTCATAATCTGAAAGAAATGCAACCTATGTATTATAATATCTTAGAAGTGAGTACTAATAAGTTTTCTGAAATGTTCTCTATGCATTTTTTAAAAAATGTAAACTTGACATTTTAGGGTCTTCAGTTATAAATACACCTGTTATAAGGTGTTTAATATAGCTCAGGAAAGTGAGCATTTTGTGAGAAAAACTAAGCTTATATTGTATCTATTGGAAAAGATTAGTTGAATGTTTTCTAATGTTATACAGTTATTTAAAAAGTACAGAGGTTTATATAGCTAATTGGAACCTTTAGAAAACTGATGTCACACAATGGTTATTATAGAAGGATAGTATGGAGCCAAGATCAAATTAAGAGAAAGTAATTGGAATAGAAGGCAGTATTTAGCTTTGTATAAACATTTAGGTTTCCTCTAATCTGCTAAACCATGTAAGTTCTTTTCTCTGATCTGTTACTATGTATATGACACTTTATTGTATGTAAAGTAAGGAATGCGTAACCAGTTTTCTTATGTTTTATCTTTGTTTAAACTAGTTTTTTAAGTATTACGTAATAATTAAAATTAAAATCTTACCTACTTTAAAAAAAAAGCCAAATTGAGATAATTAAAGTTAGAACTTTAAAATGTTTATAAATCGTTTCTATGAAAAAATTAGTCTCCAGTGAATTTTAGTGATGGCTCATTTTTCCATTTTGGAATTACATAGTTATCTAAATAGAACTTTAAAAAAAAACAAAAAAATGGAACACCTGTATAGTTCATCATAAACAGAAAATTAAAATGAGGTTAAAGTTTTTAGTCATATTTTTGAGGTCAGTATTGCACAGTGAATTGGAAAATTTTAATAGAAAAATGTCTACAGTTTTGTGATTAAGTTTGATACATTATTTAATGTAGGCAACATTTTGTATTTCCCTCATGAATAAGGAAAACCCTTTCATTCATTTTAGAGTCTGTACATATAGAGTACTAAGTTTTGGTTTTTTTTTTAGATATTATATATAATTTGGTTCTCAGAGCTAGGATTAGTAGATATTACTCTTCTAAGGGAAATTAGAAGTGATGTTAATGTATTCCAGTGGAATATATTAATGCTTGATATGGCTCTCTTTAATAGTGTGACTTTTAGAAAGTATCTTGCTAATTAAATGGAAGCTAACAATCTTTAAAATAGATGGCTTTCCTAACAATAGGAATTTCCAGGCTCCTGTGGCTTATGCCACAGGAGACCTGGAAGCTTGAGGTTCAAAGTCAGTCAGGGCAGAAAAGTGTGAGACTCCCATCTTTTATGAAACAGCAACATACCTGATTGGAGCCATGACTCAAGTCAGAGTTCCAGCTATAAGCTATCAAGCTGCATGAAAGTGTGTCATTGAGTTCAAGCCCCTGTACTGGCACCAAAAAAATTAAAAAAGAAAAAAGGAAAAAAAGTAAGGTAATAATGGTTTTGCATACATGATTTATGCTTTTCAAAAATGATGGTATATTCTTTCAGCTGCACAGAAAGGAGAAAAAGGCTGCACTTGAAAATTAAGTGCAATGATGGTATTTCCCCTTATAAATAGTAAAAAAAAAAACAAACAAAAAACTTTAAAGAAATACTTGTATTAGTGGATGAGTTTTTTTTAAGAACTTTGGAAATGGATTTGACAGTACATATAAATCAGTTCTACTAACCAAAGTTTATTTGAAAATTTACTTTTTGTACAAATTAAATTATATGATGCTTGAAATACTTATATGTCACTTTATAAACAAAATAGCACTTATTTGTTTATATTGTAAAGTATATGTAAAATGCTTTTATCAATTTGAGAATAAAAATAGTTACTATAATATTGTTGCATTATTATAATCTTAACTATGTAACCATATATTCTTTAAAACTAGTTAAACTTACAAATCAGTAGTTTTAAGTCTATATTTGGATATAATTTTTCAGCTGTGGTAGGCTGCCTTCTTTGAAGAAAGATTAAGCACATGGGCTCTGTACTTAAAATAAGCTCTGATGCCTATAAAATTTACCATGAAATATATATTTTCCAAAATTGTGTGCAGAAAATGATTACAAATAAAGAATAGGATCAGGCTCTAGGGCTGACACTGTACTCCTATCTATTCAGGAGGCTGAGATTGGAAGCTTTAGGTTCAAAGTCAGTCGGAGCAGAAAAGCTTGAGACATTACATCCCAAGTAACCAGCAAAAAACAAAACGGGTTCAGGAGGCTGAGATCCAAAGGTCATGATTCAAAGCCAGCTCAGGCAGAAAAGTATGACATTCCTGTCTGCAATCCACTAAAGAGCCAGAAGTGGAAATGTGGTTCAAGTGGTAGTGTCAGTCTTGAGTGAAAAAGCCAAGTGAGAGTGCAAGGCCCTGAGATCAAGCCCCAGTACCAGTGCACGTGCATACACATGCACGCCTCAGGTGTGATAGTTAAGGAATAATTTTTCTGCATATTAACATTTTTATAAATGTGACTTATTCACTACTTAAAAATCCAGTTACGTTTTAAAGAGTTCTTCAACTAGCTAGACTGTGTCCCAGTACTGGACACTGTCCCTTAGCTTTTTCGCTCAAGGCTAGCACTTACCACTTGAGCCACAGCTCGGGCTTTTTTGTTGGTTAACTGAAGAGTCTCACAGAGCCATTTTTGTCGAGGGTTGGCTTTGAACTGTCACCCTCAGATCTCAGTTTCCTGATAGCTAGGATTACAGTTGTGAACCACCACTGTCGAGCTGGCTTGTTTTTGAGATTAGGGGTTCAGTAACTTTTGCCCAGGCTGGTCTCAAATTTTGAGATTTTCGTTTGCCTCCTGAATAGCTGGGATTATATGCATGTCCCACCACAACCAACCCTTTCTGAATTTTGAAAAGTAGCTAATATTCATTGGTGGTTCCAAGAGATAGTTTTTATCTTTTGACTTTATTAGGTGACACTCTGTGTATACTTTTCCAATGTCTAGCCATTTATTGTAAAGCCCTAATATTCAAACTCACAAAGACATGGTTTCTTTTAAAGGAAATATTTTACATTTATAACTTAAAGCTAACAATAAAACAGTAATCACATTTAATTTACACAGTAACTCAAGGAGCAGCAACATGTAATTAGCAGATTCCTGCCTCAGGTTGGTTTGGGTTTCTCAGTTAACATTTGAAAACTTGCTCTTGAATAGTCATTGTTTTCTTTTGAAAAAGGCTTGAAAGATTTGATTAAGTTTTAGAAATGTTTACTGAGTGCCATGTATCTCTGTTTTAGCCACCTGAATCTATAGAGTACTTTCTCAGAACTTCATTTAGTGTTCTCAAGAACAATGAAAATACCTTAAATGGCTTTTAACACAAAATTTAGAATCTTTCTCTAAAACCCAAGTTCCAGGTTACAGATATCCTCATTTTATTTGGTATGGAACTAAGTTCTGTGACTTTCAATTGACACAAACCTGGTATAACAATCTCTTCTTGTAGGTCCAACAGTTCTGGAAATCCAGAGTAATTTCAATAATCTGGTAAAAATTTGTGTTATGCAGGTTTAGCCACTAGATGGTGCTAATGTAACAATCCAGTTTTCCCGTGACATTGTGAAGATCCTTTAGCAGGTTAAGGAGGCAGCATTAATATCAGCAGACAGACTAACTGGATGGCAGTGAAGGAAAGTGTATTTGAGGAGACTTTACCTTGGCAGGAGGCAGAATAGTATAGTGCTGTGCTGCTCAGGCTATGGTCTTACTGAGTTTGTATTTTAGTAATACTTTTGAAAAACACAAAATGAATTCCTAGTTGAATGAAATAAGAACTAAGACATAAATTACAAGCCTCAGCTTAAAAAAAGATTCAACAGAAATAAAATCTACAAATTGCTTATAATTTCTAAATGCTTCCAGTCAAAATTTTAATTCTTCATAAATGGGTAACATTTGGTGGACAGGTACTAGTCAAAAGACCTTATTTTCTTCAGTGCTGAGAAAACAGTGCATGCATTTCAGTCAGTTGGCAGGACCTGAGATAAAAATCTGACTCCATTATTACTAACTGGGTAGTTATGGAATGATCACTTGACCTTACTAAGCTCCAATTTATTGCACCACACAAATAACATCTATAATTAAGCTTTTTATATGCACTCAATGATTGTACTAACCTCTTAGCAAACACTCAAACATGAGCTAAAACTGATTTGGCCCATTTACATATTAAATGTTTGTCTCTGATCTCCACTGCATCATTTTCCTACTTTCCACAAAGAGGAAAATGCATGTTCAGTTCACTATAAAATACAGAACCCTGAGAGCTTGTTTGGCCCTAAAACAGAAACAGACATAAGAGATCCCTGACAAAACCTGTCTCCTCTAGAAGGAGCACCCTGTTCCACTGTGCTGGTCCTGTTTGGGGGACAGTCAGAAGTATACACCCAACCATGAATGCACTCAAGTGCTACACTGTCAGCTCAAAGTCTACTAAATTACAAAACTAGGAAAAGGTGGCAATAATCTTTATTGGGCAGGCTCAAGGATGACACTTTGTTCTTTGATTAATCATTACAGTCCTAAAACATTAGTACTCTGACCTTCCTATGTAAACAGATATGACATCAATCTTGTCAAAAATCCTGAGAGATGAATCATTTTAGAGTGAAGGAAACTAAAGGATATAATATTCAGGTACAAAAAAAAAAGCTAGTTCTTAGCTACTTCTAAAATGCTAGTCAGAAATTTTGCCCTTTAATAGTGTACTTACTACATATGAAAGCACAACTCAGGCTCGTGTCCAAAAAAAAATTATAAATTATGTGAAACAAACATGCACAACTTGACCTAGTTCCAAAAGTTCCAACAGCTGTAATGGTGCTGTAAGGTTTGCCCAGAAAACTGCCAGAGAAAAACTGCTTCAGACAGACAAAAGAAGTTTATTCTGAACTGCCAGCCCTCATGCAATGGAGGTGCGCATGGAAGGGGTCAGCACCTGGCGGGATTGGGCTGAAGGTAGGGAGAGTGGGGAGTGGTCACAGTGGATGTGGAAGTGCCCTCGAGTCTTGGAACCTCCCCAAGGTCTGAAGGAGGCAGAACAGAGACAGTCCAGGGTGGGACCTCAGAGAAAGGAGGAGCATGCCGATCACCTAGGTAACACGGGTGCTGTGGAGACTTCTGGGGAAGGACATGTATAGTCCTGCATGGAAAAGAAGGCCAGGAGGGGGAAGTCTACCTGCAGACTGGCACGGCAAGCCTAACAAGTGCAAACCTCTGAAAAGCACTTAAATGAAAGCCCAACTACTGTATCAAAGTAGTTCCCACCATGCAAATGTGTCTATTAGTACCAAAGAAGCTCTGTATCTGATACGAACCATCCTACTCCATGTTAACACGCTCAGAAATTGAAATCAATATCACTGTGTGCTCACTTTTCTCCATATAATAAGTGTTTTTAGCTTCTTCCCACAAGAAAAGTCCTGAACTATTCATTTGAAGCAATTTTACCAAAGTACATTTTTTACTTTTCTGCCTGAAGGAATCCACAAATGTAAAATTATTCCTGAAAAACTGGTGCTGGTGGCTGGAGGAGGAAGAGCAGTAGAATTAAGTTTTTGTGGTTTTTAATTGATTTTAAAATTTTTTATGTATTAGGTAAAGGGATTTCTTCATATGTTATCTTAATAAAAGGGAATTTCATAGGTAAAAACCAATATTCAAAATTATAAAACAAGTAGAATTGTCTGTGTATCACCACTGAGTCAAAAATTTGCAAGAGACTCCAGAGAAATTCTTTAGTTGACAAATGTGGTTTGAACGGGTAATAGAATCTTTTTATGATTGAAGCAAGAGTCTTGTTTCCTCCTGGCCCAAAAATAGATGTTTCATTTCCCAAGTAAGTAGGTTCTCCACTGTAAAGAAATATTCTCGTATAGTTGGTTTCTACCTTCTTGAACTCTGCGCCAAGCTCAGCCAGCTTCTCATATGTTCTTAACACAAACTTCGAGCAGTCATAGGATTCAAACCACGTTTGCACCCCTTTTCCTGGGCTAGCTTGGACAGTCCATGTCTCATAATAAATCCCCGTTTCATTGTCCTCTTTCACCCACTTTGCCATCTTGTTAAATGTGTTTCCTAGTTTAAAAAGAAGAACAAAAACATGTAAACATCAAAGACAATTATGTTAACTTTAAAACAAGTTCTGACCTGGTTAAGACTGCAGATGCACATAAATAAGAGACAGTTTTGAATTTCCAAACCTGTATCTCCCAACAGGGAGCTTAGATGCTCAGGCATTTTTTTTAGTCCATTCTTCAAGGCCTTTCTGAATTACAAACACTGGATATAATAAAGAGAAGTCTTTCTAACTTGATAATCACTTAAGCTATAGTCAAAGTGAGGTTAAGTAAATAATAGTTCTTATGCTACTCAATACACTTTGGATTCAGAGGCAAAAGAAAAAAGAGGGAGCAAGGAAGGGATTGGGAAGAGGAAAAGCTGAATGGACGAAGTCAACCTAAGTACCACAGAGGAGGATGAGTGTTACAAAGCATGGGATGCTGGCAGAAAGAACAGCTGCCTGCTGAGGAAGGTTGGCTGGTGTGCTTCAAGCTACAAGAAGTACCCCCTCTTCCATGGAATATTTGCTGTTTTCCTCCTCATTATAATTCCATACCTACTATACAAATTTTTCCAATGAATCAGTTTGGGCCAACTTTACCCACTACATAGATCCGAGGATGGCTAACTCTCTTTTACTACCATTCTATCAGCACAGAGTTAGAAAATACTTACTGGGCATTATAAATGCCTAACACAGCTAGGCTCTAACATGTCACTTTTTCACCATATCTAAGTAAATATGTTTGTAAAACAGTGGATGATGCATGCATCAATTTAATAGAAATAAAATTGCGTACTGTTTTCTTAGAACTGGGAACAATATTGTAGTTGTTCAACTTTGGAAGTACTGATGTTCTTATGAGATAAGCCATGGCTGGGCTCCAAAACACTAACTTGAAAAATGAAGGTCACTGAATAGGATTAATCACAAGGCAGGATGGGACAATTTGGAAGACTGAAGTACTTACTTCCATTTTATAAACTGTTTTATAGCAAACAGTGGTCATTGTTTGTATGAACATTATGTCAAAAGGAAAAGCTTCAGATTATTGTAGGCAGAAATGGAGAACTGGCTTGGCATGGAAGAGAAGCTATTTTATTGAGCATGTGGACGGAGATGGATTTTCATTTTGCTAGAATGGTTTGGGACATCCTAAAGAAAATCTCATATAAAATATTTAAATTGCTCTGGAGGGACTCAAACATGAAGATCATATGCATTTTGAGAGAGAGTATACCAGAATTATTGAGAGTGCTCTATGTAGCTTGATTGCCAGGGCTGGCATCCCACTTAGCTCTCTAACTTTAGCCTCTTCTCTGCCTCATGGGGAAAATAACAGTAACTATCTCATAGGATTGTTCTGAGAGTACTTTGGTATGTGTAGCACTCAGAAGATGGCTGGGCCCAGAGCAAGTCTATGTGAATAGTAATGGTAGTATTATCTAATTACTACATTTTTTTTTGCCAGTCCTGGGGCTTGAACTCAGGGCCTAGGCTCTGTTCTCCCTGTGCTCAAGGCTAACAGTCTACCACTTGAGCCACAGCACCACTTCAGGCTTTTTCTGAGTAGTTTATTGAGATGAGTCTCATGGACTTTGCAGCCTAGGCTGGCTTTAAACTACAATTCTCAGATCTCATCCTCCTGAGTAGCTAGGATTGTAGGCATGAGCCACTGGCAACTAGCTTACTTACTATATTCTTAATAAGAAATAATTTACCATTGGTAAAAATAAATCATATATAGCTAGTAGATACCTTATGGATTTCTTCTTTCAATTCTATTTATTTAGCAAGTCCAATTAAATAGTACAAAGCATCTTATTACACTCATTTTTACTACAGAGTTGAGAAGTAAAGCAGCAGATAAGCTCTTCATCTCCCATAGGTAAAGCTCTCTATAAGGACCACGTGGAGTTACATGCAGCCAGAACATTCTAAAAGTGAAGTCTAGAAAGTAGAACAGGACTGAATTGTCTCAACAGAGGAACTGTCTCTGCAGGTGAATGCTACCACAAAACACTACCACATTTTTGAAACTTACCTGATATCGTTGCTATGAGGGCTAATGTCCCATTTTCCTTCCAGTGGACATCGTCAATTCCTTCAAAAAAGCAGGCAGCTCCTTGATTACACCAGAAAGGGGCATCCATTTCAGGTCGGAGGTGAGGAAATGTACAGTTGCCAAGTTGGAAAAGTTCATACCATTCCATTGTGTAGTTCTTGCCAGTTAATGTATTCCTAAATCCGATGGCATCATGCATAATTTTCTGTATAGAGAGAAAACATCAGCGGAGTAACTCTGGGTCGGGTCACCAGATAGAAGAAAGCGTCGTATACCACACACCGTGCGTTAACCAGCTGTCCTCCTGTGTCCTTGTCCTGGCCCCTCAAGCTCCCAAGCTCTCACCCACTCTGGTTCTAGTCACTGAAGCTCATGCCATGGCTGGGACAGGTGCTATGCACAAACACTCATTATTTTCTTACAGCTTAGAATAAATGTGAGAGACCTCCATGCCAGTCTCAGGAAGGAGCTCTGCCCACCTCACGTCACAATTGGGCTAAACTGCAAAAGTGCCTACAGCACAGTAAGGCCTGTAACCAAGAAGTGACTTCCTGCCTGTCCTGCCCCTTCTTCTGAGCCTCTCTCCTCATTTCCCTGGGGTCAGACTTATAATATTAAAAGAGATTAAATCAAGTATATTTGTTATTGATTATATATACATATATGCACATTTATATTTATACACACATACCTATGTTTATACACATACGTACATTTTTTGAGGTAGGTTCTTGCTCTATATTATAGAACTAGAACTTAAGATGTCCCTGTCTCAATCTCCTGAGTGCTGAGAGTACAGGTATGTGCCCCCATACCCAGTTTGATTGTAACTTTTTTTTTGGTCGGTTGTGAGGCTTGAACTCTGGGCTTGGGTGCTGTCCCTGCGTACGTTAGCTCAAGGTGAGCGCTGTACCGATTGAGCCACAGTCCCACTTCCTGTTTTCTAGTGGTTTACTGGTGGTAAGAATCTCACGGACTTTCCTGCCCCGGCTTGCTTTGAACAGCGATCCTCAGATCTCAGCCTCCTGAGTAGCTAGGATTACAGGTGTGAACCACCGCGCCCTGCTAATTATAACTTTTTCTGAAAGTATATTTGACAAATGATTCATACAAATCAGAAAAGATAAACCAATTTAAGATTGGGCTAGGAGTCAGATTAGTATGTACCCCAAATAACAATAAATATGAAAAGCACTAAACATCATTATCAGGAAAATGCAAATTATAGCCACAGTGACCTTTTATCACTTATCTACTAGAATGGCATATAAAAATTTTAAAAAGGTTAACAATTCTAAGTGTCAGAGAAGATATGGAAATAACTGGAATTCCCTGACACTGATAAAGTGAGGATTAATTAGTACTACTTCAGAAAATTGAAGTTAAAGAAGCACCTATCCTATGATCTATCAATTCTCTTGAGTTTCATATATTAGAAATGTGTTATGTCCACTAAAAGGAATATGCGATAATGCACAGAACAGCACTGATGTTGTTATTATTCTACAATTCTGGGGATGGAACTCGGGGCCATGTGCATGTTAGTCAAATGCTCTACCACTGAGCCACATGCACAGTCCAGCAATATTTGTATAGGTAAAAACTGAAAAGGCTGGGAGTGTAGTTCAGTAGTAAGAGTAATTTCCAGAGGCCCTTGGGTCCTATCCCCAGCACCAAAAATAAAAGGAGAAGCAATCCAATTATCCATTCACAGAAAGAGATATTTTGGTATATTCCATTAATTCAATAATTTATGCAGTAAATTTAAGGTAAACAGAAGATACTATCAATAAACAGTATGTTGAATCATACAAATGCAATACTGATAAAAATAAATCAATACATTATGTATATGATAACAATGGAAGCAAACCTACTATGGTGTTAGAAATCAGAAAAACTGTGTTTGGAGGTCAGGCTCAGTTCGTAGAATTCTAGCCAATGAACAAAAGCATCAGATACTGAGTTCAAAAGAAAAGAAGTAGGAATAATCTTGGATGAGTTTCTGACAGAAGTAGAAGGGAAGCATGGCTATATGGTACTGGAGGTATAAACAGGCAAGTTAGAATGCCAGAAATCTCATGTACTTGGATGTAACTACTTTTGAACTATCATTTAAAATATGGTAAGAAGTACAACAGTAGGTATAATCTAAATGGGACCATTTGAGTACTGATGACTTCCTCAAATCAACTTAATAACAAATCAGTAAATTAGTTAAAACTTTACAAGATCAAGATGCATCCTTACCAAGTGTCCCAGGAGATTTCCATACTTAAATTCCCAAACTGGAGTCTGTAGTCGGAAGACTTCAATGACATCATTGCCCTTCATAAGTGGGATGGGTGAGCCAGTGGGACAGAAGGTGTACTTTGCTTGACAGTAAGGATCTGGTTCCGGCCGGAAGGAAAAGCGCCTAAGAGGACAGACAACCCATCAAATGACATTCTAAGAGGAAGTGGTTCTTTGCATGCATCTAGAACTCCAGATTTTCATTTCAGCAACATTGTTAGGGAAAATGAAGTTTGGATCATAGTGAATAAATATGAACATTTTATTTGTTTTCTTGTGAATACACTTTCATATTTTCTTTATGGGCATATCTTAGGGTATATTCTACATGCACTGAAGAACCAACCAACATTCACTCAACTAATGTTCATTATGTGTACGGCCATCGTGGGAAGGAGAAAAATAAAAAGTCCAATGCTGTTCCTTATAGAGCCTGGATTGGGGGCTGGAAAGACAAGAGCATCATAAGGTGTGCTTTGGCAAAGCACAGAGGAAGCAAAACGCTGTGATACAAAGGAGGCACAACTGTTCAGCTGGCGCATGGGATAGAAGAGGGCACAGATAGATGGTGGACAACCTAGCCTAGGCTGTAAGTACTTACAAAGAAGGCTAGGACAGAAAAGGAGGGGAAATATTAAGTATTATAAAACAAATGCATTTCAAGAGTCTTCAGTAGGGATGAAAAGCTGAAATTAGGGTTTCAAGGCCGGAACAGAGGGGGAAGAGGTAGGGAGGGGCTGTCACTTGGACTCTGGCATTGAGAAGTGTGAACAGCTCACAGTTTTGCTTTGGGAAGAGAGTAGGTGACTGCAAGAGTTCAGGCAAGAAAAAGAAGGTTGAAGAAAGCCACGGAGCATTCAGACTTACTGGTCACCTTCCATACCTGGCACTGAAGAGAAGGAAGAATAAGAAGTGTCTTCTATCCACTAAGGATTTCAAGAGCCAGAAGTTTCACGCTAAAAATATTACGATCCTAACACATGAATGCAACTCCTATATTAATTTAAGTACTTGCCTTATTGAAGCCAAATATATGTAAGGTTTTATCCCAACCCCCCCCTCCCCATCAAAGGTAATTTGAAAAGCACAAAATTCAAGTATGAACTCACTAACAAAGGTAAGTACTCAACTCGGGGGCTGAAGAGCGGGATGGACTTAATTGCTGGAACGGAAGTCATGGGCAATTTCTTGCCTTAAAAAAAAATTAAACCAAACAGCTTTGTATTTACAACCTCCTGTCTGTTAGGCTTTGACTTGGGGACTTTTTTTTTTATTATTATTAATTAGGATGTTCAGGAAAACCAGCGCTCCAAGCAAAACGCCTCCACCTACATCAGACGAAAGCATTCCAAGGACAGATCACGAGTGACACCCTTTCCCAAACACCTGTCCGTGCGCCTTCCACGGCTGGGTTCTGACTCGGGCGCACGTGAGCACACGGAGACCGTAACTTGCCCACGATCCCACGGGTGATCGGTGGGATCCACGCCAGGTTTCATGGCGCGGAGGCGGCAGGAACTCGATCGAGACGTCTCGGGGGCTTCGCCTGCCTTCTAGCACGTTCTGTCGGTGAAGACAGCTGTGCGCATTCGGAACCGCGCCCGCGTCGGGTACGGACACCGTTTCCTTTCCCCGTGTTCCGCCCCCTCCCACCGCGTCTCAGGCTCGGTCAACCCGCCCGGCCACTCGCCAGGGCCCCCCGTCCCGCCCCGTGTCATCCCCGGGTGCGGGAACCAGGCGACCCGCCCTCGGGGAAGCGCATCCTGTCGTTCGGTGCCAATCGTCGGCAGTAATGACGAATGGCAGCGCCAAGTGCAACGTCTGAGCGGGCTTTCACCTCTTCCGGGACTCCGCTACACGCACCGAAGCCACGCAAGAAAGTGATGGCCCGGCCAGGCCCCGGCGTCCCCCCGGGCGGCACCCAAAAGGCGCCCGCCCCCCCCCCCGAGCTCCCCCACTTCCTTCTCCACGGCGCGGCGCGCGCCTGGGACTCCCGCCGCGGGCGCGCGCACCGTTCCCAGCAGGCCCCGCCCCCCGCAACCAACCCGGCCTGCGCGCCCCCGCGCCGCGCGCGCCCCCGCACTCACTTGTAAGGCACAGGCCAGTGGCGCCGGGCGCCTCCGCCCCACGCCGGAGACCAGCCGGAAGCTACCGCCAGCCAGAGGAGCGTCAGGTCCCAACGCCAAAGCGCGCGTCCCGGAGACGTGCGCGCGCCGCGCTGGTCTGCGGGCCCCGTCCCGGCGGTCCCCGCCGGCTCCATAGACGGCTTGGGTGCTTCCGCCACCTCCAGAGCCTATCGACGGCAGGAGCGCAGGCAGCGCCGTGAGCGCGCCCCCGCGATCCCGCGCCCCCGCGATTCCCCGCCGCCGCCGCTCGGGCCGGGCTCGACTCAGCGCGCCACCGCGCGTACAAGTCGTCCGCGGTGCCCGTCCAGGCGTGCGTGACGCCTCGGAGCGCGTGACCCCGCCCCTCCCCGGCGCCGTGCGCGTGACCGTCCCTCCCGGACGCCGTGCGCGTGGCCGTCCCTCCCGGGCGCCGGGCGCGGGACCCCTCTCTCCTAGTGCGTCGGGTGCGGCCTACAAACCTAGTCCCTTGGGCCTGGCTCCATGGAGAACTGCGCGGGGAGGGCCTGTGCCGTGCACCCGCGCTGACCTCCGGCCACCGCCACCGAAACAAGAATCCACTGAAAGTCCAGGCTTCGACCTGGATCCTCCGGACCCGTCCTCCTCGCCCCACCCACAGGGCCCAGAGGAGCCCTCCAAAAACGAGAAGTGGAAGAAAGTCTCTATTTGAATAATGAAGAAGGAAAACTGAAAACGGAAACCATTAAAAAAAAGGGGGGCTGAGCCCCGGAAGCAGCGGTCATCACCCGCAGGCCCTAGCCCCGCGCTGCCTCCATCTGCCCATGCAGTCCTGTCCTCTCCACCCCCCCCCCCACCGAATCAGGAAGAAGATTCTGGTTTTGTCTTCTCCCCTTTGACCCTTCACCATCTCCAGAACACCGTGGGATCTGCCAGGCTGCTGCACACAACGACTGGTTGAGATCTAAGTGCATCAACAGCGTTGACTCACGGGCCCTGTTTAAGAAGAAAGCCACTACAGCAACCCTGGCCAGGGCATTCAGATCCTTCACTTTCCCAGTGACCTGTGAATCGTAATAGGTGCACATATATTGGAATAAGCAAGGTGTCTTCTGCGGACAGCGGTGACCTCCACAACACCACCGGGGGAGGGGGATGTGAATCACTCTTCCCTACAGTCAGAAGGCAGGAAAGAAGGGAGGAAGGGAGGGAAGGAAGAAAGGACTCTTTCCCACATGCTGTACCAGGATGGGAGTTGTGGGGAAATTCAGACAAAGCCGACATCCACGTGTCTAAAGCTCATTGAGATGAATCCCTGAATCCATTATACCATTGAAAATGACCCAAATCAACCTGGCTTCTTCGAAACCCCATCCAAGATGAGAAGGGAAGTCATTCAGGCCATGAAAGTTGATTTGAAGGGCACCTGTGAGATTCTGTGTGCACCCACCCTTGAACATGACTTCCAGACTACTTCAGAGGGTCAGTGCTCCAAAGTCAGTGCCTTTAAAGGTACAGTTGGCTAGAGTGCCACAGTGGAGTTTGCCATAACGCTCTTACCTTCTCTGGGCTATAAAAACATATCCAGATTGACATTGGCCAGTGGTGGGAACTTCCCTCTTAGTTTTGATGGCTTTGCTTTGTACAGAAACCTCTCAAGGTGAGACAGTGTTTCCTCACGTGGCCCTTACAAACTCTGGTAGCTGCCATTCCTTCCCCAGGTGACAACTTGGGTTAAGCTCTGCTCCTCTTGGCTATGAGCCCACATCCAAACTAATATTCTGTTTCTACAGATCCAACGGCTTTCTAAAGCTTGGGAGCCAAGTTTGAGGCCATCAGTGGCTCAGTCCTGTAATCCTAGCTATTCAGGAGACTGAGATCTGGAATATCATGGTGCATGACCACCCTGCACAGAAAAGATCCCTAGGCTGCATCAACAAAAAGCATGACTTAGAGGCACGGCACAGCTGGTAGATAGTCCATCTAACAATCATGCTGTTCCAACTTCACACCCCAAAGGGGGAACAAAGTTTGAAGGCCAAAAGAATTGAATTTTAATCAAATTGCTTTCTCTCAGGACCTTGCCTAACTTGTAGTCCAACAAAATCAATTTTACTAGGCCATTGCAGTATAAGACACTACACCAGAGGATGCATTCAAGCATCTCCCGGGATAAATGAACAAGAGTGTTGTCATAATATTCTGGGGAGATGTGTTGAACTCTGAGCAGTGTTTTGCCTGGCTCAAAGCCCAACAAGGCTGTGTGATACACAGGGGTTGCCTGAGATCTAGGTTACAAAGTAGACCCAGGGGTCCCATTTCTTCACCAACACCTGAAATTAAAAAAGAGATGGAATTTAAATACAGATGGGATTTTGACTCCAGAAACCCCTTATCAGAAGTTTTTTGTCTTTCTGCATTAGAGTGAGGCTGATTCTCTGAGATTTTATTTATACTGATATAATTTCAAAAAAGAAAAAGTCTGTAATTTTAGAGATCAAAGTTTCTGTGAATAAGTCAAGAAGGTAATGACACTTTATTATTTACTGTGGTTATATATATATTTTTCTGGTAATTTTGAGGCTGATTTTATCTGTCTTTTGTAAATAGCAGGCCAAAATTTTTTCAAAATTATTTTATTGTCATTGTAAAGGTGATACACAAAGGGATCACAGTTAAATAAGTCAGGTAATGAGTACATTTATTCTTGAACCATGTCATCCCTTCTCTTGTTCTCTTCCAGTTTTTCCCTCCCATCCCCACCCCCACAAACTTGTATAGTTCATTTCCACATAGTGTCTAGCGAGTACCACTGCTGTATTTATTCACCCTTTGTAGTGGGGCAGATTATGAATCGAATTTTCAACTAATATTTGTTTTGTTTTGGTGATACTAATGTTTGAACTCAGACCCTCATACTTACTAAACAGGAGCTATACAACTTGAGATATAATGCTGGACATAGTCATGGGTAGAAGACTGCACACCCCTGAAGCTGATTCTAGCACTTGACCTGATTGTGTGTGTATGTGTGTGTATATGGACACATATGCAGGCTGAATCCAGGCTTTCATGAACACTGGGCAAGTGCTGTGCCACTGAGCTTTTTGTTTCTGACCATGTGTATGCAGGAAAATGAAGTCATTCTCAGCTTGGATGAACATTGGTACCACCTGGTTGACATCAAATCCATCAGTGCCTGATGGATTTGTCCCATTACAAACTATCTATTGAGCAGAAATACTATGGTGTCAAGGTTTTGACCCAGGAGACATTTAAGTATTGAGTCCTCCCCATCAAATCTATGAAAAAGTATTACTTTTTGCTTTCAGGTTGAGGTAATGCAGACACAGAGATATACCTTTCTAGGTATCCTACAAGGCAGTGAAGGTAGAGTCAGAGTCAATCCCCAATCTTAGAGCCAGAGTTAGTTGATCCCAGTTCTGGAATGCATTGGTCTTTTTAGCTTGATATCTATGGCTACAAGTATACTTTCACAAGCAGCTGCTCGTTCTCCTACTTTCTGAGCATGTCATGTGTGCTCCTCTTTCCCAATGTGGAATTACTGACATTCTCTGGCCATGTCATCTTACCAGGTCAAGGGCCTCACAGGTGCGTAGTCTTCTACCTATGACTATGTTTTGCATTCCACCTCCAAGGTAAAGGGAGGTCTCTTGTTGGAAGTATATGTAGGGCTTTCTTTAGTTATGAGTTTCTCTTGGAAGAAGATAATAATTTAAAGAAATTAATAATTTAACAGGGCACCGGTGGCTCACGCCTGTAATCTTAGGAAGCTGAGATGATCTAAGGCTCAAGGTTCAAAGCCAGCCCGGGCAGTCCAATAAACCACCAGAAAACTGAAAGTGATGCTATAGCTCAAGTGGTAGAGCGCTAGCCTTGAGCTGAAGAGCTGAGGGACAGCACTCAGGCCCAGAGTTCAAGCCCCACGACCGACAAAAAAAAAATTAATAATTTAAAATCCAGCCAAGGAAGTAAAGATGTATTTCCTGGATATTGCTGATTTCATTCTTTAATTATAGAAGACTGCATTTCCATCAAGTAGCTAGTGACTCCCAGTGGAACGAAGTAATGACATTTGTTGCTCTTGCTTTTCTGCAAAAAGTAGGCTACATAAAGAGTTTTGGACTTTCTAAGACTTACATTTGTGAGGTACAGACTATTATAATCCTGATACCCTCTCTTCCAGTAGTTTTCAACAGGTTTTGATATTGTTTGCTTTTTGGTTGTAGTAATTAAATATACACAACATAAGTTTACATTTTTAACCATTTTAGTTGTTCACTTTGTTGGCATTAAGTATATTCACAAGGTTGTGATACCATTCTTTGGTTCCGGTCATGGGGCCTGAACTCTAGGCCTGGGCGCTGTCCCTAAGCTCTTCAGCTCAAGGCTAGCACACTACCACTTGAGCCATAGCACCACTTCCGGCTTTTTTTTTTCTGCTTATGTGGTGCTGAGCAATCGAACCCAGGGCCTCATGGATGCAAGGCAAGCGCTCTACCACTGAGCCACCTTCCCAGCCCCTGTGATACCATTCTTTTCTACAACTTTTTCTTCACCCCAAAAGAATATTTTCATCCTAGCTAAGACTGCTGGGCGGTGTACTATGCACCCAGATGGAGAACCACTGCTCTAGAAGGTTTGCCTGTAAGTGCAGTTTTAGTCAATTTCCAGCATCTTTCAGTCCTATATTTCCTTCTCAATAAAACTGAGTTCATTTTTCAAACAAATCAATCAAACAAAAACTATATATATGTATACACACCTGTATATGAATGTGTACACTTATACATATGCTTAGATATAAATATAAAACATGCATGTATTTGAAACCAAGCCTCCTTGTGATATTTCTGGCTCCTTTCATTTTTGAAGCTAAAACTGTAGCTTTATTTTCTTCCTACTAGTTGAGTTGTAATATTTGTAGCTGGTCTGGCCTCAAAGGCTCACACAAATTAGTGGTTTTACCAGCTTTCTTTTTAGCTGTAGACTCTTAAGATTGATTTGCTCTATTGTTTTCATACAGGCAAGGACTTCACTTATTTTTATTTCTATTTGTGGATGAAGTTGTTTGCTCTTAATGCCAAGCAGATGAAAATTGTTAATCACTTGAAAGAGAGCCCAGTAGAAGAAGAGAGAAATGTGTAGGAGGAGAATGCCAGGAGAGCCGGTGGGGACATAGATTTGGCAGGCTTGAACTTCAGTGAGCACGAGGCTACATACCCAGTGAATTAGTGGAA